CGAAGGGGTTTTTGTCTTCTACCCGTTGTGCTCTTCATTCGTTTCCACTTACCGATTTGGTTTATTCTGCTTTTATGTAGTCATTATAATATTAGAATGTATCTTACTAAGTGGGACTTGGAATGTGAATTGTAAAAATCTGTAACATTCAGGCTTATTTTCTTAATTTTGTATTTACATGTCCAACAGGGAAAGGAAATACTTAAGGATTATGATCCTTTTAGCTGGTCTGAGTTCTCTAAGAAAGTCTACGTTAAAAATTTGCTTGAAGGTAAAGAATAAACATTATGTGTTCACTTTTGTTTTCCAAATAAAAATTCAAAGGGATAGGCAGTAGTTGACATTTCTTTCATTTCAAGTATAATACTTAGTAAAAACTGAAAATCGAGACATCCAAGTTACAGTCACAAAATAAGTGGGACATGATGTGGGACTAGTTAGATCCATTCCATCATGTAGTTAGGATTGGATATCGTGATTTTCCGTTTGCTGTAATAGAGACTAATAGCTTCTTATTGGAACTCTGTTGATTCCATGGTTATACTTTCTCTTTGTCAGAAACAAAAAGTTGCAGTGCAGAAATTTTGTCTACTGATTTGGAAGACGGATATTGCAGTAGTCAAGATGATGAAGGAACTTTTTCACTCTATCGTCAAATGTTTCATGATATTAGTAACCACAGGTTCAATATGTTAAAATATCGGGAGCAGCCGTTTGTCCTTTAACAGAATTATTTGATCTCCTTTCCTAGGGGTTTTTTAGTGGGTGCAATTTGATTGTGATCCTTGTGTTGCGACAAAGTGGTATCCATATGTTATGTAATTAAAAGTCTTGAAAAGAGACGCGATTTTTACGTCTGGAAGAATGTCGCAAGTTTGTAGGATGGATTTGTAATTGAAAATCCTTCTTGTTATGTATGGAAATACCGAAATATGTTGGATATATTGAGTGTTGTGTTGTGGATGCTGGGGTGGGGGTCCTTTGATAGGTATTCAAGTTTTTTAGGATAGAT